GCCGCCCCTGTCACTGCCTCTGGGGCACAGCAGAGTTGGAAGCGTTTAACTGGGAGAACCACCACTGACCTGCTGAAAGCAGGGTGCAAAGTGCCCCCATGAGCGGTGTATGCCTGTTTGGAGGCTGGTGCCCCAGAAGAGGAGGGTAGGGATGCGGTTTGGTGGTGCCCTGGGTTCCTCTGGCACTGATTCAGTAAGCAGGAGGAGAGCGTGTGGCCGCTCTCCTGGTTTATCTTCGAGGTGTTGAAACCCAAGAGGGTTTTCCTTTCCCCGCCAAGAGTGCGGCTGCTATTTTAGGGCAGATGTAGAGGTTCTTCCGGAGCAGCTGAAGCCAGCTGGAGGGAGATTCCAAGGGAAAACAGTAGGCTGGCACGTGCTGGCAGTCCGCTGGGGTGGTAACGGTGAGCCCTTGGTCCTTTGACAGGAAACAGCTGGAGGAGTGGTTGGCATCCAAAGGCAAAACGTACAAGCGGCCACCTATGACGCTGCTTCAGAAAAACCCAGTGAAGCTGTCCTGGAGAAATGTCAAGGAGAAGGAGAAGCCGGAGAAACCAGAGCAGCTCTGCCTGGAGAAGATCCACAGTGTATTGGCTGAATGCCTGAAGCTCGCTGAGGAGGTGGGAATGGGAAAGGGGCTGCTTGAGCCGGCTCCTCTTCTCCTGGAGCATCCTAGGAGATGAGGGCTCCTTCTCCCCCACCGGCACAGAGAGGTCTGGAGCAAGCGTTCCTGCTTGGCACCAGTTCGGGGGGTAACATCCAGCACAGGAAAAGTAAAAGTCCTTGTGGAGTTATGGATAAGGCAACGGTGTGCGGCGAGACGCACTAACGAGTTACACGGAGCGATATGGGGCTCGCGGGTGTCCCAGTGCCTGGAAGTGCAGGAATCTGCAGCAGCTGATGGAGCCAGTGTGAGGTGCAGCCCTGGTGGGCCTCACGGCTGCTGGGAAGTGTCACCTCCGGGAATGCTGGCCACTAGCCCTGTGCTGGGGGCTAGCAGCTCCACTGGTGCCGGCACTGAAGAGTCTGTCCCTCAACATCCCTCTGAAATACGCGTTTCCCAAAGGGGAAACAGAGGCAGGAAAGCTGTTAGGCCACAGTCATGCAGGAGACTTGGAAAAAACAGATTCTTCAGACCCTTCTTTTCCTGGAGAGCGCTGGGAGAGTGGTTACGTGCTCCGGCCCTTGCCATTGATGCCATTCTCTGGGACCTTGCCCTCCCTCTTGCAGGGTGTCCAGGCAGAGGAGCTGGCTGCAGTACTGTCCCGCGTGCCCCAGGCGGAGAAGTTTGCCAAGTTCTGGATCTGCAAAGCGAAGCTGCTGGCCCGGAGCGGCACGTTCGACGTGACGGGGCTGTACAAGGCGGCGGTCTGCGCCGGAGCTGCGGTGAGTGAGGCACGCGGCTCTCCTGTACCTCCCCGCGTCCTCTGCCTCTGCACCAGCAGCTTTCCTCAGGATCCAGAGGCTGGATTTTGGGATGAGGTTAGGAGCACTAGTCACTGATAAAAAAGCCTGTTAGAGCTGCCGGTCTCGTGTTGTCCTGTAGAAACACCTTTGGCTTTAACCGGCCGAGCAGGCGGTGCTGTGCGGGCACGAACGGGATTGGGGGAGGCCGGGGGGACACACACCCTGCACTGTGTCAGGGCTGTAGCCAGAGGCAACGTGATGGCAGCTCTGTGCTGGGCCGGGAAGCGTAATGGCAACATCTGGTGGCATCTGCCCAGTTGTGCCCATCCGCTGACAGATCTCACTCAGAGAAGGGGGAATTCTGCAGCCTTTTCCCACTGTCTCCAGCATGGGGTGTGCGATGCAGCAAAAACCTTTCCTGCTCTTCAGTTTTAACTCCCAGCTTGACCCGCATTCTGTGTTTTCTGCAGCCGCTGCAGGAGCTCAGAGAAGTTGTCCTTGATATTTTGAAGGCCGGAGACCAAACGTCAGAAGGTAACGTGAGCATGTGGCTGGCAGGCTGCGGCGTGGGCACGCTGGGCTTCCCTGCTGCTGGGGCAAGATTCTCAAAAATGGGGCAAGATTCCTCTGCTGGGGCTGGGCACAGTCCTGGCGCAGCACGCTTCCGTAGCAAGGTGCCCTCGCCACGGTGTGGCAATCCCTCCCCAGCTGCTGCTCTCTGTGACTGTGCTGCCCTTTTCCTCTCCTGCCAGGGAAAAAGGCCGAGCAGCCTCTTCCTTGGGAGCCTACAACGCCTTGCCGGAGCCAGAGGGAGCACGTGGTGGCGACTCCCCGCCCGACAGGGAGGTCCCTGACCCGCCTCCCTGTCTCCATCAAGCTGCAAGTCACGTCTGCATCCAGGTGAGGCTGAGCTGCCCGCTCCTGGCAGCAAGCACCCTCTGTGCCAACGCTCCTCTGCAGCACTTACCTAACAGCATCCGTCCTCTCTGCAGGAGAAAGGAGTTTCTGGAAGGCCAGGAGCTGAAACTGGTGACGCCAGTGCGGCGCTCGCTGCGGATAGAGCGAGTTGGGAGCCGCTACCCGGAGATGCTGCAGGACCACGACCCTGTGGTGTCATCCCTCAGCGAAATCCTGGATGCTGAGGAGGACGCGCAGTTCTTCTTCCGCAAAAACGAGGCTTTGCCAGAGGTGGCGGAGCTGGAGGGTTTGAGTTTGTATCCCCCCGAGCGCTGCTGAGCGATTCCCGGCGGGATGCAGGCCGCTTGCTGCCCTGTGCTGCCTCGCACACGCTCCAATGCCTCTGGAGTTGCCTCTGGGATGTAAATTCGCGGGGGTGGCTCCGAGTGAGCCCGTTTCCGCTGTGTAAGCCCCATTTTAAATACACAAAACTTGCAGCAGAGAGGAGCGTGCCAGGTTGGGGCGGGGAGACGCGGGCCGTGCCCCCGGGCTTGCCCTCGGCCCCTCTGCTGTGCCACACACCCCAATTTTTCCCGCTGGAGGATGATGTCAGGGAGACTGCAGCACTCCAGGCACCTCCCGGTGTTTTGGAAGATGGCCTGAGGGATTTGCTCCAGAGTGGCGTTGTGCCCTACCTGCACGGCGTTCCCTGCCAAGAGGCACGCACAG